TTTTTAGATTCAATGACTGTTGCTTGTGAAGAACTGCTTTTTTTTTTTTTTCTCAATTTAATCGATTTGATTTGATTATTGATGATAATGTGTTCATAATTAGGGTTTTGATTCCTTATAGTGTTGTTTATCAAAACATGTGCTCAATTGGAGGTAATTTATTTGTTTGAAGGTGGATTTTTTAGTTGAAATGGCTGATGTAAGGTGACTCTGTGAAGAACAGATTTTTTTTTTTTTTGGTAATCCATGATCGATTTTTTTGAAAATTTGTGATTTTTCGAAAAGATGTGAAAAGCGTGACAAGGTTTTGATTATCATGAGGTATTAAACCATATATTTAATTTTTATTGCTTGAGTTTGTTCTACTTTTTTTTTATTTTTTATCCATGATCGAAATTTTTGGAAAAAGATGATTTTTGTAAAAGATGTGAAAATCGTGAGTAGGTTTTGATTATCATGAGGTATTAAACCATATTTTTAATTTTTATTGTTAAAGTTTTTGTTGAAAAAATTGTATGTTGATAGATTATTTATGCAAAAAAATGCATGTTATTATATTTTTAATGTAAAACTATATTTTTTTAATTTGTTGTTAATGCATTTTTGAGTTGGAATAACTGATGTTAGGTGGCTCTGTGAAGAATTGTTCTTATTTTCTTTTTGTTTTTAATACATGATCGATTTTTTTTGAAAAATCGTGATTTTTCGAAAAGATGTGAAAATATACCAAGTTTTGATTATCATAAAGTATTAAACCATATTTTTAATTTTTATTGTTAAAGTTTTTGTTGAAACAATTGTATGTTGATAGATTATTTATGCAAAAAAATACATGTTATTATGTTTTTAATGTAAAACTGTATTTTTTAAATTTGTTTTTAATGCATTTTTGAATTGGAATGACTGATGTTAGGTAGCTCTGTGAAGAATTGTTTTTATTTGTTTTTTTTTTTTAGTACATGATCGATTTTTTTAAAAATCGTGATTTTATGAAAAGATGTGAAAATAGTGACCAAGTTTTGATTTCAATTTTTAAAATTTTGAAAGCAAAAAATACATGTTGTTAAATTGTATTATAGTGAGGAATTAAAGTGAATATCATTGTAAAAAAATCGTGGCATATGACAATTATATTATCTTGCATTTTTTCAATTTTATTATTAAATTTTTAATGCAAAAAATGTATGTTCTTGATAATTGAATTGTAGCCATGTGTGGAGCTTGCATTTTATATTATATTATCCTGTATATTTGTAATTGATATGTACGAAAATATTATTGTCAATAGAAGTATTTTTGCAATAACAAATAATAACAAATACCCAGCGTGATCAAGAAAAAGAACGATGTCATCTGTTATTTTATTTTTAGATCGTATGTTACTAATTGTATGCTTTATTGTAGTCCATGTATGTTGATATACTTATTCCATGATAATTTTATGTTTATCCTTTTGTGTGATGTAAATGAAATGGTAAATAGTAGTTCATGCAGGGAAAGAACATATCAATATACGCATATTCATGCAAAGAAATGAAAATTCTTAATGGAGTACCTTCATTTTTTATTGAATTCCTAAAAAATAATATTTATAATGAATTTTAATAATTTTTTCGGAATTTTTTGAAGCTTTAATCTAATCGATTCAGTCGATTCTCGATCCGAATCGCCGATTCGCTGATTCAAAACGGTTTTTGAGGTGGCCGATCTAAGTCACCGATCCACTTTTTAAACCATTGTTGTGACGAAGGCGAAGAAAGAAGATTGAAAACTACGAAAAGCAATCTTGAAATGGATCGACCTCGTTCAATCAAATCGTTCGGTAACAACCAGTTTCTTTTTGTTAAAAACGAGCACGGCAGAACTAAATTCTCTCAGGAAACCGTGTTGAATCCTCACTCGGACTCATCTGCAAAACATATCGTGCGAGTGACCTTCCCCCGATAACATATAAATCGAAAGGTCTAAAAGGATCCGGTTACACCGGATCCAAGAAACTCACAAACCCAACCCCTTTGTGAGTGCTCTTTTGTATTTCAATAAAATCGAATGGTGTTTCTTTCCTTTTGTGTGCACACTTTGGTCCGAGGGAATATATGTATCATATGGTCCTATAAAAGTACGCTATACTGCAAGGAATTGTCATCTCAACAACAATCAATTTTCTTGAAGTCCAGACTTATGTAAATTGAGAAAATAAATTATATCAAGGAGGTAAAGGATCAACTATGTGATATTTTTAAATAACAGTAAGGAGGTAAAGATCAATTATGTAGTATTTTTCCATCCCCTAGGTTTTAGCCTTTCCAAGAATTTATGGCCCCATTTGATGTATCGTTTTTTTTTTGAGAGCATATAAATAACAGTTTTCTTATGATGTATCGTTGGATGCAGTGTTTTAAAACCTGGATCAGTGGGGTTGATTTCTCACCCCATAAATCCGTATCTAATTGTTGGATCGGCATTTCAAATCGGTCTAAATCGGTGATCCAGGGGGGGGGGGTTTGGGAAAACCAGGCTGAAATCCATACTATCTCATAACCAACTCGGTTCTGGTCGATTCTCCATCCAGATCGACAATCCATATTATAAATCGATGGATTTAAAACGCCAGTTAGATGTGTTATTTGAAATTTGATCAAAAGAGTTGCCAACTATTTGTTATGAACAATATGAAATCTAGAGGCACAAAACATCTATCTTAAAGATGGATGCAAATAGGTGGTCCCTAATTATAACTAACGGGCCAAATGTTTTTTTAATATAATTATTATTTTTAATTTTCAAAATTTATTTATTTATTCATATTTATGATCCCCATGTTAAAGATTATACATTCTTTAAAAGTTAGGATCAAATTATATTTAAAAATGAAAAAGTATATGATGAGACCGTTTACCTTTGGTACAAATTGGTTACAATAAATCTTGACCATTAAATGTTAAATTGGGTGGCTGCATTTATTTCATTGACCAAGCACATTTATTACAAAGCTTTCATTTGTACATGTGCGGGCTTGGATGCATGCTAACCACTTCCATTTGTAATTGGATCAAATGAACTGATGAAATGCTAAAAATGTCAAAACTATCAACAGTTGATTTGACAAAATTTACTTCATCAACCCCGCAGGTCTCAATCACTTGACACACGCTCACACAAGCCGACGCGTCATTGCTCCAATCGCAGTGCACTGAAAAGTAATGAAGCACACTCCACATAAACACAGTGTTACAATAATTACGTTAACATTATTAAAAAAAGGGTGTGGTTTCTACAAGGTTGCAACTTTAAACAATCCAATTAAGGTACACCTCAAAATTTTATTTTAATATATAATTTTGATGTAAAACGTTTCTAAGATTATCTCAAAATCTATTTTTATATTTAATTATAGAATTTTAAATTTCAAAAATAGTTAAAATCAAATAGATCTATAAACATATGAAAATTTTGAAAATGAATAGTTTAGATAATGTGTTGCAAAATTCACTATTTCTTGCACTCAAAATTTTATTTTTTCATATTTTCATATTCCGATATCGAAATGATCAATTAGAAGGTTTTTCAACGCTAAAACAACTTTTTTCGATGGATTATTGAGGTGCATTTATAATTATACATTTTAAAGTCGCTACCTTATATAAAATTTTTCCTTAAAAAACACCAAAGTGTTACAATAATTAGCATTAAAAATAGAAACGGCCTCAGGATGTTCAAGAGGAGAAGAAGATTGGAATACGGAGATTTTGACTTTTTCCTCTTTCTGTTGATTGTTTCGTAGAATGTCATCGTATCATTTTTGTTTTTTTTTTTTTTTTTTCTGTAATTCAATAAATCTTTTTTATCAAAAAATTATAAAAACCCCCGTATTCGTATTTTCTAGGCAATCTCCCCTTATATTTTGATACGTTATTGTTAATCCCAATACCCCTTCCTTTTTCAACTACCCCATAGTCAAAAAGAAAAAAAAAACCAAAATACCCTACATTTAACCCATATTTGCACAACTTGTCAACTTGGCACAGAAATGTGTCCAAGCAATAAGGGTGGCAACGGATTAGGTATAGGTCAGATTCAAATTCAAATAGATTCGGATCCAGGTTTTGGACTTGGACCCGACCCGTTAGGTCAAAAAATCAGACCAATACTCGTGCCATACTCGTGCTGATACGGGTCTCGGATCTACCTCATCAGGCCTCGGGTCCATTGTCATCCTCACTATAAGTTATGTTTTTTTTTTTTTCCCATCATATAGCCGCCGTGTGATTTGTCGTTTAATAGCTAAAGATAACTAATAATTTTAATTATATATGATCATTAATACACCCAAATGAATAAGACTTAAAGTAAAGTATTTTATCTTTAACAATTTATAGGTAAGGGTCGGGACTAGCTGGACCCAGATCCGGACCTGTATAGTATTCGGATCCAAGTTTTAGACCCAGATCCGGACCTATATAGTATTCGGATCCAAGTTTTAGACCCAGATCCGACCCGTCAGGTTCAAATGCTAGATCCATACTTGACCTGTATCAAGCATACCCATCAGATCTTGGGTTGGGTCTAGGTCCATTGCCACCGCTACGAATAAGCTTGTATCTGTGTGGTATAAAAACGTGTCGGACTGGCTGTACACAAGTTGTGCTAGCAAGTTATGCCAGTTGTTTTTGGGTAAGTAACAAGTTATGCCACTCTGTCATAAACTGGCACAACAAGCCAGTCCATCACAAAAAAAGTGCTGGACCGGTTCTATGTTCATGATGGATTGGGTACGTAACAAGTTATGCGAGTCCGTTCCAAAATCGGCGCACCAAGCCGGTCCGTCACAAAAAATGTGCTCAATGTTCATGTTGTGCCGGTTCAGCATATTTTGCGCTTGATTGACCGGAAGCGAGGATAAAAAATGGTCTAAAAAATATTCAATTTTTTTAATATTAAGGTCAATAAAGTTTGCCTGGGGGGTCCATATTTTTCTCTTTTTTTTAAATGAGCTCGGCTCCCTCCTCCCTGCGATGATCCGTTTGGTCGCGGCAAACTTTGCCGTTCTTCTTCCTTGTATCCCACGCTTCAAATCCTCCCTCTCTCTAAACTTCAAATCTCTGTCTCTCATCGCTTTGACCGTTGTAGGTTTAAGAGCACCTTCGTCCTTGCAAAGCTTTTCCATACATTTTCTCCGTTCTCTCTATCTTGATCATCTCGACCAGTTTCCCTGTGTCTCTCTTTCTTGGGTCGTTTTCTTTCTCGACCTTTTCGTTTGGGCTCGTCTTCGTACCCTTTATTGGTTTTCTCTCTCTTGGGTCATGGAGAGACCCAGCTCCCCTTCTTTCTCTGTGCTCCACTACCTTAAGGGCACCTATGTTGCATTCGCTTTCTGTTCAGCTCTTATTCTTGGAGCCCTGAAAGGTACTTTTCACCCTCTTTCTTTCTAGTTTGATTTTCTTTATTTTTTCTAAGTCTTTTCTGCTTGGGTTTTACCATTAACAGGGATTGTTGTTGGTCCAATTGCTTGCTTGATTCTCATTACTGGAAATGTTGGAGTGATTTTGGGGTTGTTTCCTGCACATGTTACATGGACAGTCGGTGCTATCATCAAGTATTCTCCAGTAAACCCTTGGTTTTCTCTTTGTGTTTTCTTCTTCCACTAGCTCTGCTATTTCCAAATGAGACATCCGTTGTGGGTGTGATCCTTTGGAGAAAGACTTTCTCAGCTGCCACTATATTCTGTCGTTTTTTTTATCCTCTCTCTTCTTCTTTATTAGCTCGAATTATGGACTTGAAACCCATATTGGCTTTGATCTTTGAAGAGTTTTAAAGCTATCACTTATCTTCTCTTTTGTTTTCTTGATTATCGGCTCGTATTGAAGTCTTTAAACCCCTATTAGGTTTTAGCTTTTGAAGAGAGTTTGGTATCCTTGTTTGTTGCAGGACTAAACGGTTTGTTTTGGATCTTAAATTAGTCCTGCTTTTCTCGATCCCATTTTTATTCGGTTTTTGGTTAGTTGTTGGCATCACTGGAAGTGTGTTGGTTGGATTCGGATATGGATTTTTCACCCCATGGGTGTCGACTTTTGAGGCTTTTCGACAGGATGGAGAATTCACAAAGTTCTCGCACTGTGTAGTGGTAAACATTTTCTTCATTTCTTATGAGTTATTATTTTGAAATACTCATTTTTCCTATGTAATAAACTGTTCCTATTTTTGCTACATAAGTAATGTGTGTAGTCATGTGTGTATATATGTATAATTTTATGTATGTATGAATCGTGTATCAATGCATTCATGTCTGAATGTATATGCACGTAACTATGTATGTATGCATATATATCTGTATGGTGTGCATTTAGTTGGAGAGTTAGGTAGATGTAAGTGATAGTTGTAGCTGAGCATTTAGTTGGAGAGTTAGGTAGATGTAAGTGATAGTTGTAGCTGATTTTGTATTGGATCAGGATGGAACATGGGATACAATCAAGGGCAGTTGCGTGGTTGTTCGGGATTTTGCAGATATCTGCTACCACTCATATCCTTTGTACTTGAAGGAGACAAGTGAGAGAACTACTTCAGATGAACCTCAGACTATCAGGTTTGATGTGAACACTACATTTCACAATTCAATGTTTTCTTTGTGGCTGTGTTATCTTTCTCCACATTTTACATTTAGACTATCTATCACATCTGATTTAAACAACAGTTTTAACACTAAAGTTCAGAATATTGGAAACTCTAATACCACAGTTTTCAATTTTGATTATATGAAATTCCAACATATTCATTGCCTTAAAGAAGCATTATGTGTCAAGCTGTATTTATAGTTGTTATGATCTAAAATCTTGGGATTTTTAGCGAAGATATCGGGTTCTTTCCTTTGATGATTTAAACATTGGGTTTTCTTTATTTTCCTTTCCTCTTGATAATAAATAATGAAAACTCTATTTCCTTGAAAATGGATGTTCTTCTAAACTTGTTGTGTGGACTTTTACAGGTTGATGGAGGTTCCTAAATGCATCATCATAGGGCTAATGGGTCTCATAGTGGAGATTCCCCTCTTCACAATTATTGCTGTGACAAAGAGTCCATTCATGCTCTTTAAGGGTTGGCAGCGACTCTTACATGATTTAGTGAGCCGAGAGGGTCCATTCCTAGAAACTGCTTGTGTGCCCATTGCTGGCCTGGCAATCCTTCTATGGCCTCTAGTTGTGCTTGGAAGCATCCTCCTATCTATTTTCTCAAGCTTCTTTATTGGCTTGTATGGAGCAGTAGTCGTTTATCAGGTCAATATCAGTTTAATTCTTCAAACAACCCATTTTTTATTCCTTTGTGCTTCAAAGTGATTTTAACACACATTCTAAAAAGCCATACTTTGACATTTTGTGCAGGAAAGATCTTTTAGGAGGGGTCTTGCTTATGTAATTGCCATGGTTGCTGAATTCGATGAGTACACAAATGATTTGCTTTATTTAAGAGAAGGGTCTCCACTTCCTAAGTAATCATTCTTTTGATTATTTCCCCTCAGTCTGTTATCAACTTTTATTTCAGTGGTTTCTTTCAAGCTTATTCAGATAACCAGAGCTCTATTTCTTTTATTCTTTGTCTGTTGTGTTATTTACGGCAGTCTTCTCATTGGTCACAGCCAGGCCTGGGTACAGAAAGAAGATAGAGCCTCAGAACAAAGACTTCTCTAATGGAATTGACCATGTTTCAGCCACCCAGCATCTTCGAAACAATACATCTAACACTTCAGAGGCCCCTGGGATGCTTGTTCCAAATTTAGCTCACACGAGATCTGTTAGAGAGGCAATACAGGAAGTAAAAATGGTGCAGGTATCACACAAATTTTTGCCAATAGAATTTCCCTGTTGTTCCTTGCTTCTTACACTCACTTTAGTTCAAAATTCTTGATACTTGTTTGCGTACAACTTCAATATATATTCATAAATGAAAATTATCATTCCATACATGGATTTGGACGAAAATGTTCCTAAGCAACTACTACTACGACAGAGTTAATTATACTGCAACTTAAGTTTATATTTTAAGCATTTTGTTGACTATTTGATTAATCAGTTTAAGGCATGTAATCCACTAGAAGCCTTTGAGAACACCAGGTGCAATCTTTTGGTCTCAACTCACTTTTGAGAAATTACATAAAGCGGAATACTTTAAGGTCGTTCTTGCTATGAAAGAATATATAGGTGCAAGTCTCATGTCAATGAAAACTTCTGTTGTATAAAAGAATAAGTAACTATGTAAATATTTATATGTTGTTGTGAATGAATGATGAAAATTAGCAGTATATTGAGTAATTGAAATAAGATAAAAAGGAAAGATAAATGCAGTGTTGATTGTTGAATATGGATGATCCATCCGTATCATGTGCTTGTATTTCGATGACGGTTCCCGTTTAGCATGCCTAACTAGCCTTGCCTTTATAAGCAGCATCTATGCATGGGGGTTATTCTGGTAATTTGGTGCCAAACCATTCTCAAAATTAGGTCCAAGCAATCATGGCTTTTTGTCTGTTTCTAAACATTTTTGAGATATAATTTTATTAGCATGTTCCTACACAATTTTGGACACAAAGGAGTAGTGCTGGACCTAGTTGGGTATTTCTTAATTTACTAAGGACCCAGTTACTAATTTTAATCGACACTTATGCTGGCGCAACCAACGGGTAATCACATTTGCTTGCATGAAATTTTCTTCCCCTGTTCTGTAAAATCCATATGCTTAGATTATTTGGTTACTTCCAAACACAAAAGGCATGGACACTGAAACATAATGCCAGAACAAGGACATGGGAGTTTTATGCAAGAGGACAGATGGATGCTTTAAGTTTGACATTGGCTACTCATATCTGATCTCCAGCATTCAGCACTTCCTTACTGAATGGGTAAACAGTTTTCCTACATAAACCTGAAGGAAAACACTTTGATGGAAAGCTCCAAGCTCTACTGAATGTATTTGGAGCTAGACAAGGACCACTATTTCAAGAGTGAATTTTCAAGGCAAAGTTGCATTTGATTAGCCCCACTTTTGTTGCCAAAATCATGGAGTACCTTCACAGCTTTAGTGAGGAGCTAGCTGTAAAATGGTCATCTTTGAGACTACTTGAATTATAGTTGACAATCAATAAAGCGGGTTAAAGATTTGGCATTGACTAAATATTATGGACTTCCCATAGGGGTTTGCTGACTGTTTTATGAGGAGTTTGGATGGTAGCATACTTTAATCAAAAGATTTAGCTGTTCTCTGCAGACAACCAGGTAGAAGGAATCAATTTCAGTGTTAACTAGATATGGAAGTCACTGGAGAAGCCATCCCATTAAAGAGAACAAGCAGCGCTGAAAGTGGTGTCCAGTTCTCTAAGAGAGAGAGTGAGAGAGAGGGCCCAGAGAGTCAAGAGAGTAGTGGCAGCAGCTGCAGCGGGCACTCCCATTTTTGTTTTGATAGGAATGGTAAAGCATATAGGAGAGAGAGTCAAGAAGGAATTTTCACAAATTGAACTTGGTATTTGATGGGTGTTACCATTTACAAGTAGATGAATTGAACCACTAGACGGCAGATATCATCTCCAAGCTCTATGTTGTGTGGTTAGAAGTGTTTCTAGTTCTTAGGCATTGTTGCCATGTATTGGAATTTCCTTAAAAAATGTGCAACAATGGCTCTTTACCTTAGCTTGGCTAAAACTTTTAAGAGTCAGTTTTTTAGTCCAATTTTCTGAAATATGCAAGCATAATCATCATTTTCCCAAAGAACTATACCATAGAATTCCGATCATATTCTAATGACTGTGGTGATTTTTTTCAAGTGTTGACATATGACAAGAATGAAAATCTCAATGAATATAACTAGGGAAAAAAAAAAACACAAACACATCTCTAAAGAAAAGAACACAACTGAAGTTTCTCTTTAGCTCCTCTGCAAAGCTTAGACATCCTTCTCAGTAATCGCATGCACCTTCAGTCCCCCTTTTTCTTTTGTTGAGTTTATGTTTTGGTCTATGAGAACAGGTATGGGAAGAGATAATGAGATCCTATGAAGCAAATGGGAAACAACTTGTGGATGCCAATGTAATAACAACTGCCGACCTTGCAGAGTATGGCAGGGCCACAAAACTCAAAAGCAATTCCATTAGCAACAGCAGTGGAGGACAAGCGAGCATCATAGGCCATGGCTTGCCATCTTATTCTTGCCTCAATGCCCTCCTTAGATCCATAAAAATGGGTTCAGAAGGGTGGGTACTAAGCAATGGGGTCGAACTGACCCATGCTAATCGCCCACAGGACAGGCTCATGGACTGGTTCTTCCACCCTTTGTTGGTGTTGAAGGAGCAAATCAAGGCCATTAAGATGGTTGAAGGGGAAGTTAGGTTCTTGGAGAAGTTCACTCTCTTTTCGGGTGATGAGCAAGGAATGGAGGCTTGGAACAATGGATCGGTTGTCCCTCAAGATGCTCTTAGGAATGCCCAGATTCAAGCCATCAGCAGGAGGTATTCATGCATGGAGAAGCATTGAATCTATCTCTCTCTCTCTCTCTCTCACACACACACACACATATGCACACACCAATAAATGGCATGCACAGAGAAGCATTGAATCTCTCTGTCGCTCTCTCTCTCACACACAGGCACGCACACACACAGACACACGCATATGCACACACCAATAAATGGCATGCATAGAGAAACGTTGAATCTCTCTCTCTCACACACACACAACACGCAAGATAAATGACATGCATATAACTTCCTGATAAATCTATGTATATTATGATCCATATGATCATAGCAACAATATGGTGTTAAGTGTAACTATCCTCCCACTGATGGGTTGGATGGCATTAGAGGAGACTGACTCCCACTAAACATGCCATTAATTTACTTAAGGGGAAATTATAAGAAATATTCCTTTTTTTTCGGGTTATTAGAAAAAAAATCCCACATCTTCCAAACCTCTCTCATGCCCCTTTCTTCATTATTTGGGATTTTGTGATCAAAATATCCTTCACGGAAGTAATAGATCCACAAAAGTCATCATGGTTAAGTCAAAAATGTCTTGGTCTTAGATAATTTATGGGGGCATTTTTAGATCTTCACGCTTTTGAAAGCATCACGGTACTAACACAACCGTGATGCCGCTTAGGGGATCTTTACGGTTCTAGGTGAACCATAGGGCCGTATTTCATATCATCTTAACCATGATGCCTCTTATGTGGGGGGCATGTTTGAAATCAATCATATCATCCTTTTATGGAAGCGTTTTTTAAATCAAGACCTTAACGATTCTAAGAGAACCCCGTGGTTCACATAGAAAGCAGCACGGTAACGCCATAACCGTGATGCATGTTATGCTTCACGGTTCTAACTCAACCGTGATTCTTAAGTGCAAGCATCACGGTACTAGCACAACCTTGATACTTTATCTCGGCCCAAATACTACCGTGATGGTTTCAGCTTATTTATTCCATCACGGTTCAAGTAGAACCGTGATGGTAGAATGGTGGCAAAGCCATCACAGTTCTCTTACAACCGTGATGGTTAAAAAGTTTGTCCCCACCATCTATGATCTTCATGGTTCTAAGTTAACACTGATGACCTTCATGGACCTTACACTACCGTGAAGGGTATTTTGGTCACAAAATTGCAAACAATGATGAAAAGGGGTATAAATGAGGTTTTAGAAGATTTGGGTTTTTTTTTTTGAATAACCTAAAAAAAATGATATTTTTGATAATTTCCCTCACTTAAGTTGTCACTCTCTATCATCATCCATACTTGATCAGATGGGTCATTATATATTTTTGAGAATTTATAAAAAGTATCCTTTTCCTAAAATTATCATATTAAATTAAGGGTGTGGTTTCCATAAAGTTGCAACCTTAAACAATCCATTTAAGGCGCACCTTCAAATTTTATCATAACATATAATTTTGATGTAAAATATTTTTAAGATTATCTCAAAATCTATTTTCAAATCTAATTATAAAATTTTAAACTCCAAAAATGATTAAAATCAAGTAGATTTATAAACATATCAAAATCTTGAAATGGACGGTCTAGATAATGTGTTATAAGATGCATCATTTCTGAGACTCAAAATCCTTTTTTTTTTATAGTCATACATCTCGATGTTGAGATGATCAATTATAGGGATTTTCAAAATTAAAAGAACCTTTACCGATGGATTTTTGAGGTGCATCCGTAGTTCTACATTTCAAGGTTGCAACCTTATATAAACTTTTCCCTTAAATTAAATTAATGTATACTCTCTCTCTCTACCTGTGCGTGTGCATGCGCACGCGTGTACAAGTTTTATGCCAGGCACCTAGATACCACTGGTTTGTGGCCTTTTTAAGGAAAATGCTGTGAATCTGACAGAAACTTTTCTTGGAACTATTTGTTGGTCTGTTTTTTGGAAAATGTTTTGAATCTTAACCGAAATTATTGTTGAAACTGTGTTAGGCTACAAGGAATGACAAGGATCATATCAAAGTTTCCCACATATAGAAGGCGATACCAACAGGTTGTTAAGTCTTTGACAGTATATTGCCTGCAAAATGAAGGCATGTACGATTCCATATCATCGAGATCCACGGCTTCCATTGAAATAGTTTGATTGTAAACTTGTGCATGTATGTGGAAAAGATTTGAAACAGGAAAATTGTGCCAGCATACCCTTGCTCGTCACTGATGCTTCCTAAATGCTTCAGATCACTAGTTTTTTGGTGGTTTTTGAATGTACAGAAATGTAACATATGTATGTAGAATGGTCCTGCCTCATGCTGCATGACCAGTGCATTGTAAAATTCGTTGAAAATACGAAAAATGGATATCCTTCTGCAATTGTTTTTGTTGGCTATGGCAAGGAAACGTCATCACAAGCCATCAATTGTCTGTATGATGTGTGATTTGCATGACCTATTCTGTTCCATGCAATTCACTCTTGGTTCAAATATTAGAGTCTTATAATCAGAGAAGTTTAAGAATCGATATCTGATCTATTGCTTGAGAATTTTCAGGATAGAATCCAAAGAAGTATTTTTAACTGCTTACAGGACCAAGAATTGTAGCAAAGTCGCTGTTCTTCTGTTATAACTTGTTTGTAAACATTAAAACTAGCAAATCACTGTTCTTTTGTTGGTAGGCGAATAGCTGCTGCCCAGATTCAACGTGGTGTTCTGCCCATCCAAGTCTGGCTAGGGACAAACACATGTATGAAACAGGCAATGGACTGCCGAACTTACATATTTCAGGGCACTTATATATTTCAGTAGCATGTAAGGAATAAATTCCCTGTTGGATTAGTTTTGGCTGCATAATGAAACATTTATCTTCTACTCAAGAAAGGAAGAGAAAGTAGGAAAGCATACTGCTGCATTTGGGGGAAGCTCAAAATTAACTATTTTTCACCAAAACCTTGGGAATGTCACACCACCATTTGCAAATGACTTTTACAAAGGGGCAGGTATTGAAACACCATTGCTAACACGTGCACACACAAATATTCTTCTCAATTAACTTGAGTAAAGTTCAAATTAATATCTACTGTTGAGAAACGTGATATATATTATGCAAAATCTGTACAGCCTCTCAACAAGAGAGTAACAGAGAAAAACAAGCCAGGTAGTCCCCTTCCATTGCCTTTGAAATATTATTGACATGTCAATTATCATGTTACAAATGTAGCACTCAATTATATAAGAAGGCAGTGTTTCCAATAGTGGGGCAAAAGCATTCTCATACTTTCAACCTCTGTTATGCTTCCAAATATGTTGAGAATTTGGCCCCATTTGGGGGGCATGAAATTTTTAGCAATAGCACCATTTTTATGAACCCATTTACGAATGATAGGCATCCCAACTAGCCCTCCCACCACGCATGGGTCAGCCTCACTTTAACCCCATTTATTCTCAAAAAGCCACTGGAATGTGTGAGTTAGACTAAAAAAGAAAACTAACAACTGTTTTTCCTCTATTCCTTGAAAAAGGGGACTTCTTTGATAAACCTAACTTCCTAAAACTCCAGTTTTTCTAGATTTGTCAAAAAGTAAGCAGGCCTATTCCTCTGATGCCCAAATGCAGCCTTAGTTTCCACTCATCACTGATTGGAAGAAAATATGGATCCCATTGGTAAGTACTTGCATGGTCAGTACATTGGATCCAATTGGTATGTACTTAGCAATGGTGTGTCAGCAGTCCAATTGGTGGAGAATCACTTTCAAACTAGACCTTCAATAATGTATGAGACCCAAGTCTTTGAGCCATGGGAATATCTCCGAAAGGCCTTCGTTTAAGCCCCTGGGATTATAACCCAACTCTGCTTTAGCCTTCTCACAAGAATATGCCCACTGATGTTGAAGGACTCGCACAGTCTGCAAAACAAAATAAATTAATCAGCAAGTTAAACCAATAAACTAAATCAAAATTTTTAGTATGTACAACTCATTATATCCAATAGTAGTAAGTTCAAAGAAAAGAGAAATTATAGGAGTTACCATAGGAAAACATATTAAAAGAAAGAGATACAAAATTTTAAGGGGCAAGTATGTACAGGATAACTAATTAGAGGAAGCTTTCCAGTAACATGACCCCAAAACACAGATAACCATCCGTAAACTTCTATCACCCACAAAGGAATATGAAACATAGGCCTCGATGTTCCCGTGATAACAGATGCAATGTCAAAGACATGTCCAAAGGATGAATTTTCTCCTGTCAATAAGTACCGTTCACCTATTCTACCTTTCTGCATTGCTGCCACATGTCCATTTACGACATCCTCAACATGGCTAAAGGAGAACCTCTCATTTTTCTTGCCTATATAACCCGGCAACCGGTTGCTAAAACGCTCAATAATCTGACATAAAAAAGAAAAAGTAAATATGTTAGGTATTTGGGTTCACATTCTATGATCAATAGACAACATCATTCTCCATTTACTTGGAACTTGAGTCAGTATGACCTCCCAAAACAAGAAAGGACAACATTTTCTTTCAGTAAAAAAAATGATAACTTTTGAAATTCTAATTTTTTGTAACAGGCAATATTGTTGTTAATAGCATGCGAATTGCTATGACTAAAAAAAGCAAGAAAATACAAAAAATTGCAAAAAATATAGAACACCTAATCAAAAGATTGTAAAAGAAAGCATTGGGAATGGTAATCATATAACAGACGTAGGCAATTTTGAATTCCATACATGAGTTTGCCATTTAGTACAAGGAGAGAAATACCAATCATTAGTAGCTACACCCTGAGAAACAGCTACATCACATGCTTCAGAATGTATAATTATACTATGCTTGTCATATATAATATTGCCCTGTGACAGTTCAGCCTTTCACTGGTCCCCCTCCTATGGGTCCTAGGGCTTTTAGGTTTCTCTCAATTTGGAAGAAAGTACCCTCCTTGATGATGATAATTCAGGAATCTTGAGGGGAAAAAAAGAGTAGTAGGGAGATCCCATGTTTCGTTTTTTCCAAGCTACAATGCCTAAGGGTGGACCTTCAAGGAACAAATACGTCTCTGGGGTGGGAAGTGGAAGGATTCAGGAGATTAGAGATAGGCTAGAGGCTATCCATGATCAGCTTACTTTTACCCCTAGGAAACTACTACCCAAAGAGGAAGAGAAAGAGCTCAACTTTCAGCTCAAGGAGTGGCTCAGCAAAGGACTTTGGAGACAAAAATCATGGAAAATGTGGCTAAAAGATGGATATGCAAACACTAATTTTTTCCATATATCTACTCTCGTAAGAAGAAGACAAGAACGTGTCTCAAGGATTAGAGATGAACAGAGAAATATATTAGAGTATGACGGGCCCCGAATATCCAAAATTCTCTCATAGCTTTGTATGATGATTTTTTGCCCAATGCGAGGATTAAAGATGCTCAATGTGGCCACCTTATGAGAGACGCAACTTCAAAGGAAGTTAAAGATACCATTTGGAGTGTGAATGGCAAGAGTGCACCCAGTTCAGATGGGTTCAATGCTCAATTTTTCAAACTTAGTTGCAGGATCACTTCTGATGATCTTTTTTGGCCATTTTTTATATTTTCAAGGGTAAGTTTTTCAAGGAGATCAATTCTACCTTCATTAGCCTTATTCCAAAGGTCAATCCTCCAATTCGAACAAACGATTATCAGCACATTGAAATGTGTAATGTGCCATATAAGACCATAAGCAAAATTATAATCAAGAAGCTGAAATTCAGTATAGATGACCTCATAAAGCTCAGCCAAGCTGTGCTTTCCTTAAAGGCCAGTTGATTTCAAATAATGTCCTTATGGCAAATGAAACTTTTCTCCATGTGCAGTCTAAAATCCAAGTGCCCCAAGATGTACATTCAGCTTGACCTGCAGTGCTTATGACCAGGTGAACAGGGATTTCCTTTTGGTAGATTGGTTTCCTTGGGGTTCCCTGATGTTACTTTGCATTGGGTTTGTTGGTCTATTTCTGCATCGCCATTTCCATCCTTCACAATAGTTAACCTCATGGCTTCTTTAAGGCTTCAAAAGGACTTCGGCAAGGTGATCCTTATCCCGTCATTTGATTTTTGTTTGTTATGAGTTATCTGAGTAGCCTCATGGATGATGCAGTTAAGTGAGAAAAGCTGCTAGAGCCTTTTCCATTTGGTTGTGACTTCGGAGTCGACCACTTGTTGTATATGGATGATGCCCTTCTTTTCTGTGAGGGGTCACCTTCTGCAAAAATGTTAGCCTCTTGTTGACCAAATTCTGCAATGCATCAGGGCAATCCATTAATTTCTCATCAAGTAAGACCACCATTTTTGGGATAAGGCATGCTAGTAAGTCCAGTATCATGTTTATGTTGAATTTTGGAGTTGTTCTACATTCCAGATATCTAGGCTTACCTCTTTTCCATGGATGTCTAAGAACTTCACAATCCCATGATTTAGTGTGAAAGATTTTCAGTAAAATTCGCACTTGGCAAACTTTGTGCCTTTCCTTCACAAGCCAATTGCAAAACAGGTATTACGTGCTTCTTCGATGTACTAGGTGCTTTCCATTATAATTCCTTTTAAGATTCTAAATTCTATTGAGAGATAACAAAAGGAATTTTCCATGGGTATGTAGCACTGATTCCCGTGGATTACATTTAATTTCCTTTAATTTCTTTTCATCTTCTCCTAATTATTAATTTTGGGCTATTCTTTTCTCTCGCCTTGCTCTCAGGTGTTCCCACCATACCGAAACACCTTTCTTCAATTTAGTGGCAATAATTTTAACCTTTTTATTCTCTGGCACATCCTTGTAATCAAAGACCCTCTCTACTATATTTAACGAGTCCATAAAGTCGCCAAGCTGCAACTTTCCTTCAAAATCAAGAATATCTACTTTTAGATCTATGGACTTTGAGTGCCACCTAGCTCTGATCACATTCCTCTTCGCTCTACTCATCTCGCAGAACACGACCGTGAAAAGGGTTGTAATCAACATCACCTTGGATGGACAAAACTTCATCTCGCGCACGATCAATGCCTACAAGCCATCTTGTAAGTTCTTGAACTTGTCGACTCAGATCCTCTATCTTCTAATCTCGCTCATCACGAGGTAGATTCGTATGAAGACTCCTGCCTTGAACTCTTCTTGTTGCCTGAGGTTCACCAAAATCACAAACCCTAGGTAGAGAACCAACAAAACCTAGCTGAAACCAGCAAGTTGTAGCTGATTTGACAAAGCTTAGCTTAAAATCAGCCATCCCTAGACTTGGTTGTGGATTCCCAACTTTGTTGTTGAAGAAAACCTCGGCTTTGATACTAATCAACGCAGGAAAAAAGAGAAAAGAGGCTAAATCAGTTCAATAACTATCAAAACAGGTTAGATTTGAGTGGATATACCTTCCCTTGTATAAAGAAGTGACTCCAAAACCCTAGATAGGGTTTGTTGTTACTGTTCACAGCTTGCTTTATTGTTCACATCCAAAAGTGTTAGAAACACTAACAGTTAACGGTTTCCACAAAAAAAAAAAGTGTTAGAAACCCTAACTTTCATTACATTATAATAAAAAAAAAGACCAAAACTACCCCCATTTAAGTTAGAACGTTATACAAATCTCCCATAAGTCCCTTCACTTAAATTTTCTTTCGTAATGACACTTCTAACCTTGATAAAACAAGTAATACCATAAGTAATATAACCATTTTTCTAAACATCTCCTAAAATAATATATTAATAAAAAAAAACCTTAAAATCCCTAAAAAACTTAAAAACCCAAAAAAAAATAACCCTAGAAAATTCTAAAAATATATCCTTCATAAGAAATATTTAAAAATAAGCGGCATCTTGTCTTGCGTCATAAAATCATTCTATAACATTTCAAATAAGTCAATTCAAGAGAGTCCTCTTGAAATTTAAGACATGAAAGCAATAGAAAATGAAATGAAAAAGATAATAATGAAAAAAAAAAAAAATTCACTCCATAGTCCATATTGCTATGGAGACAGAAAACTGAATGAATATGTCAATGGGGTTTTCCTTGAGTGAGATGCTAATTGCCACATTTAATAATCAAAAGCATGCTTAAATTCATATTGATATGGAGAAAGAAAACTACCAAGCTGGCTACAATATTCCCTGTGGTCAGCTTTCCACGACCATATATGACGCCCGGATACAGCAGAACAATTGGCACTCCTTCTGATGCTGCCTGAAGTGCAATTTTATCAGCAATAACTTTAGACTTCTCATATTCTGTACAAAAATAGTTCTCCGGATGCCTCTGTGACATGATATAATCAAATGCATAAGCAATTTATTTACTCAATCCTCACTAAAAAGTCCATTAATAGCTTCATCCAAAAAAAGATAGAAACAACAAAAGAAACAACGATCTACTTTTTTGTATGGATAGTATCTGCTCTAGTCAATTGATAAAGGAAAGAGGCCCTGTGTATTTAAGGAATACCTGGGTCTCATCAGCAACAAATCCATCGGTGGGGCCAAGGGCAAAGAAAGACGAGGTGTAGATTATCTTTTGCAGCGTATCTATTTCCTTGTAAGCTTGCAACACATTTTGTAAGCCTCCTATATTAACCTGCAACCATATGCAATACACGTCAAATAAACTGTTTGCAACCATATTACATATCTCACATTAACGAGACATTAAGAAAAAAAAAAGAACAACTCCATAATAACTCTCTAGAATATGTCACAGTAACTAATAAGGAGAAAATCCAAAACTGACAAGGTGACAAACAACATGTACATGGTGCCCTCCATAAAAGTGTATTAGAGGTACCACCCTAGAACCCCTATGCATGTATTGTCCTTCAAAAAAGGAATCTTTTCCTCCTTATGATGGGATAAAAGATAGCTGACTCCGCTGACGAATACATCACAAGGAAAGTAATAACCGTGGCCAACTGACCCTAGTAATTGCGGTTTAAAAGATGTAATTTTCCTCCACAAAAGAAGACAGCCAAAATAGCACAACAGAAATGGTCAAAATTCCTTAAAGCATACATTATACTCGATGAACACTTCAGTGAACGACAAATCTTCCATGTATCAATATTCCCCCAAACTAAACAGGTATGCTCCGGCACTCGTTATTTGCCAAGGAAAAGGATGCCCCTCAATTTCGTTGCCATGAGGACTTCAAGCTGATAGGGGTACAATCATGTGAATGTGGGAATAGTACTTGATTGCAGCCTCCTAGAGAAACACTAGTGCATTAATGTTTTCACACCCAATGAAACAGAGTTTCTTTCAATCTCAATGATCACATGGAAGTACTTAACAAATGTGTAGATGAGAAAAAATACTAAATGGAACCCAAGGAAGTTCTCACCCATCCTATCACTAGGCATAGCTCAACCCCTTGCTTCTGCAAATTGGTATAAACATGGCCTCATATTTCTTTTGCCCATGACAGTAGAAGAGCCAAAAGATACTAGAAATCTATAGCAAGTTCGAATAAGCTTGCAATTTAAGTCACAGGGACTAAATTACCCCCCAAAAGAAAAGTCAACAGGGACTAGATATTAACGCATCAGCTTGATTGATTATGAGCTGATAATTGCAACAGTACTTGTCAAGTTCAGATCCCATTTTTGACCTAGTCCCCAAATTTAAAACAAAATAACAAGAACAAAACAATGACAATGTGGATTTATACAAAAAGGCTCGTACTCAATATGCTCAAATATTTTATATAGGTGGATAATTGAGTAACATTGGATGGCTATAAAAAATTAAAATAACAACATTCCAAGTACTATTGCTCTCTAAAATTGTCAAATAAAAAAGAAATGGTATATGGATCCAAGATAATAATTGAAACGAACAGAACAGAAAAGATACAGTTAAAATCCACCAACTAAGACTCGCTATTAAGGTGGATCATCCACAGGTTAGAAGAGGAATCTTTGACATAAATGAGGGTGGAGGTTATAGTTACATTCATAGGATTAGGATATCTAAAATAAAACTAGCTTTGAGAAAGATGAAGATAGGAACACTTTAGGACCAGATGGCATCCCAATAGACGTTTGGAAATGCATGGGGGAGAGATTGGCATATGCTGGCTTATTAAGTTGTTCAACAAGATATTTAGAATAGAGAAAATGTCATACCAATAGAAAAAAAGTATTGTGGTACCTATTTACAAGAACAAAAGAGACATACAAAATCGTAAGAACTTTCGAGAGATTAAAGTTATGAGCCACACTATGAAGCTGTGGGACAGAGCGGTTGAGCGACGACTAAGACGTGAAACGAGTGTATCAGAAAATTAGATCAATTTTATGCCAGGAAGGTCCACTATCAAAGTCATTTTCCTACTTTGACAACTGATTGAGAAGTTTAGGGCAAAAGGAAAAGGCCTTCACATGGTATTTATTGATCTAGAGAAAGCATATGATAGGCTATATTAACATAGTAAAAGATATATATGATGGAGCACTAAGTAGTGTGTGGACAACTAACGGTGATAAGGGAGTTTTTAGTAACAATGAACCGGCATCAAGGGTCACAGTTGAGCCTATCTCTCTCTATTTTATTTATGGATGAGTTAACCAGACGCCTACAAGATGAAGTACCATGGTTTATGTTATTCGTAGATGACATAGTTTTGATCGATGAGACTAAAAGCAGCATCGACGTCAAGTTAGAACATAAGAGGGATACTCTAGATTAGCCGGACTAAAACAGAATATATAAAATGCAAATTTAGCAATAAGAGGAGTAGAAATGAGGAAGTAGTTAAGATCGATGATCAAGAAGTACGTAAAAGAGATTATTTCAGATATTTAGAGTCAATAACTTAGGAGAATTGAGAGATTGAGGAAGATGTTGCACATAGAGTTAGAGCTAAGTGGGTGAACCGGAGATGTGCATTCAGAGTTTTATGTGATCGTCGCACACCATTGAGATTGAAAGGAAATTTCAATAGAACGGCTCAAAGACCAGCCATGCATTATAAGGCAAAATGTTAGGTGACCAAGCATCATATATTTAGGATGAACGTAGTTGTGATGGATGAGCGACAAGACAAGAAATGATAGAATTCAGAATAAATATATACGAAGTAATGTACGTGTAGCTTCAATTGGCGATAAGATGAGCGAAAATAAACTTGGGTAGCTGGGCATGTGCAGCGTAGACTTAGTACAATACCAATTATGAGGTGTGATTTGGCTCAAATAGAATGCTCTAAAAGGGCAAGGGGAAGGCCAAAAATGATATGTATAGAAGTAGTGAGAAAAGATATGGGTACTATCTTAGTGAGGCAGAGGAATATGATTCATAGCTTACCGCAATTAATTGGGATACGGCTTGGAAAATGATGATGATGATCCCCAGGCTGGAAGAGAAACCACAAAAAAGCCACACAAACGCATGTTCTTACAAAATCATTCAGTAAATTTAATGGAATCACTTTTGACTCCAAAGGCATCAACTCAAACTCGAAAATTCATTAGAAATCAGAGTCCTCGTCTTTATACTGGTACGTGATCCCACCCAAATCAAGAACACAGCGTTATACCCTGTAGAATTAATGGTGAAAAGGGAACAAAGGCCGAATAACACTGTCGTCTAATTTCCAAATCCCAAGAGAGCCAACAAATCAAATTCAACAATACCTCTTTTAGGCCTAAGATGAAGAGACTTGCAGAACCAAGATTTCTCAAAGTTATCCACAAAATTTGCATCAAGCCATGAATTTAGAAGAAGATGACATCACAGGGTTCTATTCGATTTCTTATTGGCAAGCACAAAAGTAGCAGAGTCCATGAACTCAGAAGAACAAGAAAATGGGTGGGTAAGCTTACAGTGACAAATTTGGAAGGGTCAGGAAGCCATGGCTCCACAAGCGCAGCGGTGTGAAAGATGATTTCGCAACCAGAGCAGGCTTCGAGGAGAGAGGGGAGGTGTGCTATGTCGCCGTAGGCCATTTCTAGAGAGGGAGAGGGGGAGGGTAAGGAATGGGTATCACTGCTTGGCCTCACAAATGCTCTGACTGTGTGGCCCTCCTTGAGAAGGGCCTCACAGAGCCTGCCGCCCATGTAGCCTGAGGCTCCTGTCACCAACACCTTCATTCCTCTGCAAATTAAGCTTGTTCAATGATATCCTAGAGAGAGAAAACGCGGCCGCTCATGGAAAGTCGCACACACTGTTTCTCTCACCTAATTTGGTGGAGCGAAGATATACAGTCTCTCTCCTTCACTCTGCCGGCCAAGGAGGGGGAGAGATTTCGAATAAAAAACGGAGCGCCTATATTGAGCTCGCGCGATATCATTTTGTGGACATACTCCCTTGGGGAAAATACCGGGTTGGAAGAATTTTTTACATAAAACTTTTCGGATCATTTATAAAATAATTTTTTAATAGAATAAATTTAAATTTTTAGATTTTCGACACTTACATCTTACCCACCAAGATGTCCTGGTTTAACGTTAGGATGTGTTTTTTGCCTAATTATTTTTTGTTTATAGGGTAGCATGCTATCTATTCACTCCCTCAAGTCAAACTCAACAAGGGAGTATTTCTAAAAAGGGGTCCTCTCGTTTAAGCAGGGTCCCGAAATGGGGTAGAAATGGTCTTAATTGTAATTTACGTACAAAATGGCCGCTCTTAGGATTCAAACTCGCTAGCGTTATTCGGGCTTTTGACCATCAAACCAAGTGACTAACCCTTAAATATGAGAGAGTATTTCTATGACCCCAAAATTATGGGGAAATATCTTCAACTAGCAACTAATGTCAATAAAAAAAGAGAGATTATATTTTATTAGACCATTTGCCTATGTCACATTAAATATAAAACTCAACCGCTTTGAATGTGTCACAAAGTTCAGTGAGTTTTATTTTGGAATTTATACCCATTCAATATAAGTGGTTTTATTGTATTCCTTTTTTTTGGAAAAAATAAAATTTCAAATCACTCCATGAGCTTGGAGGGAGGATAAGTATTGAAGGACTCAAAATCCAATTTGTTTTTTGAAATAAATTTTAAGAGGATCCCAAAATTACGAGGTGGGTTAGGAGACTGTGTCGCGGAGCCCAGTCACTGTGCCCATCATTGAGGGGTCCCTGGGTACTTTTGTGCCTTGAAATAATAAAAAGGACAAAAAAATCTCTTATATTTGTCAAGGGTGCCATTTATATCTCAGTTTTAAAGAAGAATAAGAGGTGGACCATGTCACTGTGTTAGTACAGAAACATGACCAGATTGCATTTTTGCTATTGCCCCTGCAGGGGAAAATATCAATAAAATGGTCAAACCATGCTTTTTCAATTGTTTTGTGAAAAATGCCCGAATAACCTTCCTCAAAATTTTGTTATGTGAATTATTCAAGTCAAATGAATTAAATACCCTATTTGTTCCATATGCCAAATCTGTAACATGTTCTTTCTATTATAAAATCTTGTTCCAGGTTTGAAACCCAAAATAAATAAGATATTTATATCTTTTGGCTTGATTAATTGGAGTGTCTCCAAATTAACAAAATGTTCTCACTTGTTATTGGTTCAAACCTAAAACAATATTTTCTAATAAAAACAAGTCAATAAGAAAAACTATTCTTGATTTGGAACTCATAATAAATAGCGGTATTTAAGTTATTGGCTCAAATGACTTAAGTGGGTAAAATTACTTGAATTCTCTTACTTGTTCAAGCTTACGAACCTAAAAGAATGGCCATTTGGATATTTTTTTAACATAAGTTCTTGATGAGGTACAATCATAAAAATAATTTTAAATGTGACAACTTTTAGTAAAATCATTCATTTGATCCCCTTATTGATTTTTTTAAAGTGATTTAACTATTTGAATGTTGTTCTCCAGAATATTAATAATAGACCATATAAAATTTAAATAACAGATTTTATTTTATTATTTAAAATTTTTAAGAGAATAGTGTTTCTGAGATAATTTTTTAGGTACGAATATATATAAGGTAACAATCTTATTTGTACAAGTAAGATTATAGTAATCTACACTGTTTATTTTATTCAAATAGATTTAACTCAATGTTAAAAGACAAGTTACCTTTTGACATTGTTTTGAAATTGACGTTGTTTTGAAATAACATACAGTGCACTAAACTAAATGGTATTGAATATGGCAACTTACTTCTTACTTGCAACCCTATACGAACGTTTACATACGGATATCTAAGCTGTGAGATAAGGGCTTTGGATATCCCTACCTATATGTGGTCGAAATGGAGGGTCGGATGTTATTGCGAGGCATCGGCCCCCTAACCACCGATGCCCCAGGCCTACTCCTCTATCTCGTTTTTTACAGGAAATGTAAGGACCTGCTCACAACGAATATTATCGCAAATGACTACAGGACTGGAAGATTCACTGTAAATTTTGGGGTAAAATGATAGGGAATTGGTGCCAAATCATAGTACTTCTAAACAACGAAAGGCCCGTCAGTCGTCTCGTTTTCCTAAAGAAAAAATTAGGATCTGCTGTCATCGGTACAAGAAGAAGATGAGGGACCTTCCAGAAAAAGAAATTTGCAGACAAGAAATAGGCTATACTTAATCCGAGTCTCTTGAAACAGAAGCACTTGTCTCAGTTGAAACATTTACTTTAGGAAGATGATCTTAGAAAACTTCAGTGTGTTCCAGAAAGAGCTATGACTTGCCTAATCAGCCCATATAACTTGCACACAAAATGACAAAACAACTCGATTTCTCACTAGACGAGCAAATGCTCAGAGAGAGGGAGAGAGAGAGGGAGGGGGAGGAGAGAGAGAGAGAGGCTTGAGAACATGAACGCACAAATCATCAAACAGAACCATAGAAGGGGACCTTTACTTCAATATAGAACCCTTTATTCATATCACAGTTACAATCTTGACCGTCTGATACACTTGATGGGATTAAACATAGCATGCCTATGCCTCAAAGGCGACAAACTCAAAGCCCCGTGCTTTATATCCCAATTCTCAATATTCTTGGGCACACATACATCAAAGAGGATTTTACCAAGAACACCATGGGCACTAATGTTTGGGCCCTCGTGCACGTGGATGTCATATTCCTTGCTCTCATCTTTCATAGGCCCATCCACTTTGCCTATGTCCAACTCTACAGAGCTTGGCAAGTAGAAGTGGTCACTAGGACTCACTGCAACCCTCCTTAGACTTTGGTTTGAGCATTTCGCTGCTTTTCGTAAACTGCACACTGATTCTGATATGGCATCGTGAGAACCGTTGCCACTTAAGGACAATACATCTTTCTGTAGTTTAAGCATTCTTTGAGAGAAAACAAGTGATGATTTCTCAAGCAGTTCTTTGACAGCAGCCCTGTACTCCTCTGGATGGTGCCTGTAGTGACCTGTAAGGATTTTGAAAATTGGGACATGATTAAGAATGATAAATATGAAAAAAAGGCAGTTTTTGTGTAGGACTAGGGAAAGAGGAAAGAAACCGAGGAATGGATTTTATCCTTCCCTTTCACGGTTCAATGTCCATAGAAAATGTAATGGAATCCACAGCATAATTAATACGACCCCAAAGAATTTCAATCCATTTTCTCTGACGAAGTAATATGTATCATTAAAATATCGTAGTGAACCACCCAATATCAGATACATGCCTCTTCAGGTCAAGGAGATCAGTTTGAGTGCAAATTTCTAGTTCAAGAACACCACGACATTATCAATATTTTGTTCAAATAACCATGATGATATGGATATCACATTATCATTTTTCTTTAATTGCAATCTGTACATATGAACAGGGAATAAATTTTCAAAAATACCTGCTTCATCAATAGGTATTTTGTGTTACACAGGGATCCTTATAAAATTAATAACTGAGGTTAAGTAGGAGGAGGTATTATGTCCCTTTGGTTCTCAGCTTAGTGGTAGGCATATTTGGTTCGAGTGAGGGAGGTTAAGGGTCAAAGCTTCACCCAAAAAGTCCAAATAAGCTAACCTACCCCTTTTTAAGGATTAAAAGGCTACATAGCATGAGTTAAAATTACTCCATTAATTCCAATGGCCCAAGCCATGCTACTGCCACTCAACCTAAAACTCCTTGGTTGTCTGAAAATTTGATCTCAACAACCAAACTTCAAACCCAAATACTATTGTTGTATTTCTACAAGTATGTCCTCTACGATAATGGCCACTTATAGCCTATAAAATCATACATGTAAACAAGGATAGAAGTACATTCCATAGGGGCTCCTTTGTAAAATATGCATGACCACTTAAATAGATGTATTTACGTAGGAAGCAATCATCATCATTAAAGAATTTTCCTAATTAATTGGGATATTTTCCTAATTAATTGGGGTCTACACGAATCCTAGTTCGCCATTCCGCTCTATTGAGGGTCATACCCTCAATGAGGCCATACGTCCCAATACATCGTGTCACTTACGGGGGAATGCCCTAGCATAAGCAGATGTCTTATATTCTAGATTCATGAGAACTTTTGGCAAAGTTTTATGCTGGTTGCCTACCTAACACAACCACCCCTTTTACCTAAGGGCTTGGGACGGGTTAAGGGAAAGTTTAAGGTCATCACCCTTCTTAGTCGGGTTAAGGGTTCAGGGAAAGTTGAGGAAGAATCAAGGTAAAAATTAGATAAGTCATATACCACTACCCTACAACATTACAGAGACCGTACTCATAGTTTTGGCAAGTAAAGATCCCCAGATATTCTATCAAGACAAACTAACTAATCAAGTAGATGGTTAGCTGATTCTAGTGGGGGATGACCATGATTAATCTCCATTTTGTGGCATCAGGAACAAGGCTGCACATCCCTTTGGAGTACTGTATATCATGCACCACCAGGTTATGGCATGCTGTCCCATCACCAAAAACCACCACCAAGAGAAAACTACCTCTTTTCCTTTCTTTTCTTAGTGCATACTCTCCTTACCCAGTGATTGCTCTCCTACTCATTCAGTTTTAGCTCCAATGAGCGACGCGTCTCATACACCTATTTTCCATGATCTGTTGTTTTACACTATTTGCAGATGGCATAATCAATACTAATTGCTTCTAATATTCCTAGAACTACGGAAACATAATTAATTTCATGGCAACAACATCTATCATTTCAATCAATGATTTAAAACTTGGACTCAGCTTGGGACTCACAAAGGTCCCGATCCTGAGCTAGGCGAGTTGAGTTGGCCCATTCTTTTTGGATAGAAAGGCCTGGGAAGTGAAGATTCAGGCGAGTCCTGTAATATTTCCGTGGGACACGTGGCAAGTTGACTCAGGCGAGTCCCATGTCAAACCGCCAGGTTTTAAGACACTGATATTAACAACATTAAAATGCGAAGCTATCAGCAAGTTCCCATCTACCCTGTCAACTAATATCACCGTTTGTGTTGTGATAAAAAGTACACTGACTTGGACATTTTGTCATTTGGCTGCTCAATTGATGATCAAATAAATACATACCTACGTGAGGTGAACTTTTCCAGGACAGTAGTTTAACATCCCCGCCAAGCTCTTGTAAGCGCTGAGCGAAGTTGCAAATTGTTTGATAGGGAGCAAGATCGTCCTCTTCTGAGGATACAATGAGGATGGGACCCGTTGCCTGCATAGGAGTCAAAAAATAAATGTAGAGGAATCAGAAATATTAAAGACTATTGTGAAGTCCCATAAAAAATGGTCAACTGAGTATCAAGTTTTTCAACAAGGAACTCACTACTGATGAGTACAAGGTACGCCAATAATCAGCACGATCGGCTTCAAATTTGCTTAGGAAGAAAGCATCCAAGCTAGAGGCAATGGCCCTGGCAGCCCATGAAAATACCCTTGGTGGATTTGTCATTTTGAGAACAGTCGGATGAACAACAAACTTAGTACCTGTTTCGCTAATAAAATCTACAGGGGAATCATATATCTGTCCAGAAATACAGTGCTGAACAAGCTGGATGGCATCCTTCACAAAGAAAGATAAAAGCATGATAAGCAGAATTCAGGTTTTGATACAAATAATAACAGGGAGATGACAGAAATTGCAGCGTCTCTTGAACCATGAATTCAGTGGTAATGAAATTGTATGCATCTAACAATAGACATATCACCATATATAACAAATATATTCAGCAATTTATTAGTTATGCATTTAACTCGCATTTTGTAATCTCTTCAACAAAATCCCTGTTTCAATCCATTTCATGAGTATACCATGACAAAGGGGGGACTAAACAATCAATCCATAAGCTCTGTACATTGAGGGCTTGTTGCCTCTACTTTCCAAAGACATCATTTCAACATTGTGAATTACAAAAGTTACACGAATTGAAAGCATGAGTGCGATCAAGTTTCCTCGTAAAATCTCTATTTTTTAGCATCTAGTAAATGCTCAGGATAGATATAAAATAATTCACAATAGAACTCAGCTTACCGGATCGATCTGTCCATCACATACTCTATTAATTATCTGAAAAATAAAAATTCAGAGTCATCGCAACGCAGAGTCCCATCAACTGTGAAAAGATATTGTAAAACTTTAATAATGTCACAAAAGATGGCAAAGTTTACCTGAAGGACCTTGTACATGCAAGCTTTTGGTCCACCAGAAAAGGTAGCAAATACTATGGGGCACTGTCTATTCTTGACCTCCTGTGTTCATATCACAGAAATATCATGCTATTAAACTTGGATTTCATTAAATCTGCATACTGATAGGCTTCCCATAATATCTTCAATATGTTAATTGGTTTTTGGAAAATCTCTTATACATCGGTACCAGAATGAATGTTAAAAAAGAAAATTACCTTAATAAGTTCATCAAGGATAACAACTGCCAGGGATGTAGCATTTTCAGGGATAAATCTGCTCATAGAAGCAACATCAGTATTCCACATAATAATATATAGAGTCAATAATAGAATGAAAGATTGCAATTATCCACTTGAATTGCTCAGGACAAGTGTTCGCAAACTCAAAAGGAGTTTTTGCAACTCAACCATGTAAACTCAACTCATGGGGTCCATAGTTTTATTATTAGAACTCTGTTTGGCTGAGCTTTTAAGTTTTAAAATAAGTGAACGCAAATAGTAACAAGAGGCCTTGGGTTTGTGGCAGCATGTGCTTCCCTATCTGGACATGGTCTAATTTTGATTCCTGATGGTGGCAGAATAGGTGTTCTCCGATATTGAAAAACTCACTGAGTTTTCTCCATATTTGTAAAACAGTTGAGTCGAATTTCACTATGATCAAGTCAAGGACCTAGATCAAGATTTTAATACTGCTTCTGATCTTTCCTAGAAATAAATATTTGGGATTCAAAACTTCGGATTTTTGCTCAATGCATAATAGGCTTGATTTGTTAGGTCCCACACCTCTTTGTTGAATGATCATGTGATTGTATACTATGAGACCATTTACTATTGTTATAAGGAGGTCACAATCATTCCAAGCCATTACATGTCAAATTTTATGGCTTGGGGTGTGTCACGAAATTCGAGAATTGTTTTTTGAACTTTGAGTCCAATCAATGACACACTTACAACCACCCGATTTGATCTCCTTATACTAAAAGTAAATAGTCTCTTTGTATACTTCTCCATAGATTGTGTGATTCTCCTTTTTTTTTTTTGAAAAGAGATCATTGGAAGAAGTTACCTACTATGTTTCAACTCCACCGGATCTTTAGTGTGCAAAATAAATTTTGTAGTTGATTTTGAACTTTAGGAATTGCATAACTGTTTCAGGAAATTGCATAACTGTTTCAAATTTTTAAAATTACTCATGATACTTGTTATTGAATTTTCTCATGACTTTGAAAAGGAAGAATAAAAAAAAAAACAGGTTTTTGCAAAAACTTTAATTTTAAACATGTGGGAAATTGGTTTGCATTATAACAAAGTTACAAAAAGTTTACATGTCTTAAACTGATAGGAGATAGCTCTAATGATTGATGAAGAAATAATGTCACTTTTTCCAATGATATTTGAGCTGTGATGTTAGAGCCAACTAGCCATATTGAACTTAAATATATGTGAATTATAGTTGCTTCCTCGATCTCATTAGGTACTGTTACCCCATATCCCTCGGATGAGGGTTTCCAACAAAATTACTAGGGGTGAGATTTCGCTTATTTTTCATGACAATCAGACTGCCATCATTTGTAGCTTTTTATCCTCAACATTCACTTTAAAGGCCACTCTCTAAACAACATTCCTTGGGCCATGGGAGATACATCTTTTCCTTGGTGCCTAGAGGATAATTGTGACAAAGTACACTTCTCGAGAACCAAAGAATTTATTTTTAGAATTATATCCTCACCAACCCCCTGTCTCTTCTCTTAAATCCTTTTTCACAAAGAAGATGAGTCAATTTTCTTCATCTTCCCAATAGTTTTGGTTTCTTCGAACACCATTTTAGGCTTTTTTTTTGTTTGGTGAGAAGCTGCTACATTTTAGACTCTCTCTCTCTCTCTCCACAACAAAAACCCTTGGTATTCATTTTACAATCCTTCTAAGTCTACTTTACTTTGGGAAAATTTTAATAAAGACTACACTTCACGAGAATGGACACAGAATCCAGTTTATCAAGAGAAATAGTAGCACCAAAAAAGACCAGAAAAAAGAATAAACTACATGAATTACAGACCAAATAAGAAAGAAACAAAATGTCTGACTAGCTGACTGAATGTTCCACAATAATTTCATGGGAAAACATGTACTTTTGGCGTTGTAGAGCAAAAGAGACACGAATTGAACTCATATATCCTATATTTCAGTTTAAATCTAGCTTATACTCCACTAGGAAATCAAACCCACCTCACATAAAAGGAAATAAAATCAGAAGTGATTGTTAATAAGATAGATTATCTTCACTCCTATATCCTATATTTCAGTTTAAATCTAGCTTGTACTCCACTAAGAAATCAAACCCACCTCATGTAACAGGGGGTAAAAACAGTAGTGATTGGTAAAAAGATATATCATCTCCAAGAAAGAAATATAAAAACTCAAAATAGAAAGAGAACTGAAAAAAGAAACCCGGAGTAGAGAAAGAAAGTGATTACACGTTGAAGAAGTTCGAGTGGCAGATCAGAGAATTCCACCCAAGTGATCCATACAATTCGACATAGGGCTTCACATGCTTCTCTTTACTCGACATCCAAGCAAATACCACAACAATTCCACGGAATTCCCCTTCCTTTCTTCCCCAATAACATCGGCCATTTCCCCACATCTTAAAAGGGAATTTCGTCCACAATTCACAGAGAATTTAATCCACAATTCCTAAAACCGAGACCCAGTTTGAAATCAGAAATCCAGTCGCAGTCTTTGCGGACATCAATCAAAAGACCAATAATCTCGGTCTGTCCTGAAATCAATCAAAACCCAATAATCTATCTGTGTGATGACAGCAGATGCGTGTTTCGAGAAAAGGAGATAGAAAGCCCCGATGAAATCCAGAATTAGAGAGAGGACAGGATTCAATATTTTATTGGTCATAAAAATAGGATTAATATTTAGCTACTCTTCGCCGCATATTTTATCTATATGTATTGGGATTATCACGAGCAAAGAGTGGAGAGTTCACCTAGTCCTTCCTCCATGCACAATTACTGTTTTGCCCCTGTTTTATCGATGGATATTTTGAGAAAGGGTGTGGCTTGCACAAGTTTGCCACTTTAATCTTTGATATTAATGACAACGGGTAAGGGGCTTCCATCCACTGACTTAAACCCCCACATAAAAAAAAAAAAAAGTGCACCTCCATGCTTTGTGTGGCGTGATGTAATTTTGGTATCCAAAATCCTTAGAGTGGTGCGAGAATTTATTTTTATCTATAATTATAAAATTATAAAGTCAAAAAATTGTTCAAATCAAACAAGGGCGGTTCAGATATTGTGTTGTAAAATGTATTATTTTTAATATTTTAAATATCTTTTTTTCTCCATATCCATACATCTCGATATCAAGATGATGAATCATATGTTTTTCCAACATTAAAATAACGAAGGATTTTAGAGGTGTACCTTAGTTCTACATTTTAAGGTGTTAACTTTATAAAAACTTTTTCTTTTAAAAAATTTATTTTCTTGAACCGGAAATTTATTTTTTTTAAAAAAGACATACCCTCTCTAAAATTATAATCTCAAGTAACATCCGGGTTCTATAAGTATCTCATGTAACCTCAAATTAAACAAAAAATGATATTTAACCCCTTAATTACTTTTTTTTCATTGTCCAAATTACATAATTTATTTTACTTTTTTTAATCACCCTATTATCTAAAGAAAATTTGTTTCATGCGGGCTGAACCACATTTCTACATATGTGGTCCAGAAGTATAAAGCATCTATCTCAAAGATGGATGCAAATATATGGTCCATCTAAAAACAATTGAAACTAACGGACTAAATATTTTTTTAATGAAATTATTATTTCTAATTTTAAGATTTATTTATTTTTTTATATTCATGATCTCCATGTTAGAGGCTACATATCTTTAAACTTTAAGTCCAAAAAATCCATCTCAAAACTAAATTTATTAAAGGGACTGCATTTTCTACATGAAGGCATGCCCCGCATGCTAACCCTGTCCTCATCTACATCTTGGAAAAGCTATTGATCTCTTTTTGTTTCTTCCTCACTCGTGGACCTCTTCCTTCTCTAGCTCTAGTAACCTTCTCTAAATACTTATCTTGCTCTCTCATCATGTGAACCTCCTAAGTAAATTAAAAGAGGCATCACAAACTCCATTTTTATGATGAGGTTATCAGAAAAAAGAAGGGAGGTAAATCCTATAATTTAGACAGTAAAACAAATTGAGGGGCTGAAACGTTCATTTTTGTTTAATTTGAAGGTTTCATAAACTTTTTATGGGACCATGGGGTTTATGTCTTTTTCCTCTCTTTTTTAAAAAAAATGTTATTTTTGTATAAGCTTGTTACCCCTTGACTGATTCAATTGTTGATCATATTTTCATGGTGGTGTGAGCTCCTTTATTTTTAATTGGAAATTAGAAATTTAGACAGTAAGGTGGGTTATGTGGCGTGTGGCAACTCTCCTTCATTGAAGGGGTTGGTAAATAATTTGCAGGATCATAATGATTTATGGTTGATTCCGGTGTTTAATAAATGAGGCTATCGGTTAGTATCTCCATAGGCTAGGACACACATAACAACGCACAGTAATGTAATTCAATTGGAGCCTATTGTGTGTTGTTCACGCAAATATATTATGGAGGGATCATATCCAATGAACCTACTATATTTTTGTAATAGCTGTTTACACGCACCCAAGCTCCTGTAGAAAAAATGTATAGGGGATAATAATATATAGGCAAACCAAAACACTAATAATATATCGGTTTTATTTAAAAAAGTTGGAGGAAAAAATCAGGTAAAAAAGAGACCCTAAGTATAGGGATTGTAGTTAACTACTAAAACATATGTTAACTTATAAAACATAAAGATCAAATATGTAAATTAGTGGTCCACTCATATTGAAGTCCTAGCTGTCTAAATTTGTGGTATTATTGAATCTCTCTTACACTTTATAGTGACGTTTTGGGTTTTATGACTAAAAAAGATTTTCATTTACGTACTTTTATTCTAACTCTACCTATTATTATAAGATATATGATTATTCTGATATTTTAGTGTTTGAGGAATATATTGCTTGTATATTTTGTATACTTTTTTTAAAAGAATTTATTGGTAAAAGTTTTTTATAGAATTTTTATTAAATCATGATTCTTAATTTACTCTCGCAGTTAATGTGTTTATTTATTTTTTAATGGAGAAATAAATTTATCGCGAATAAGTCTTTTTGAAAAGTTTTTTTGAAAAAAAGATAAAATACATATTTATATTGGTCCCAATAAAAAAACACGATTTTTTTAAAGATCTTTTGAAAAACTCAGAGTTCCTAACTAATTTAAAAAAATTGACGATTTTTTGAAAAAAATTGTGTTTTAAATGAAGACTCGCTAACTATGGTTGTAATACATACCTAGGAATGTTTATTAGGGGTTTGTTTAGATATACCCATTATTTCATATATATTTTTTGTTATAAATAATTTCTAATTATCACCATTGTCAAAGTCTTTTTTCAACTAATTGGGGTTGGGTACACGAATCTTGATCCGTCATTCTACTTTATTAAAGGTCATACCATCAGTGAGGTCATAAGTGCCCATATCTTTTCTTACTACTTCCAAGTTCCAACCATGTTCCTTTGAGCTTGCCCCTTGGCTGTTTTGAGCCTTCCACTTGAACTATCTCACACCTCCTAGCAGATGTTGTACTAGGTTTGCACTGCACATGACCAACCCACTTAAGTCTACCCTCTCTCATTTTATCGCCTATTGATGAAAGAAAATGAAGAACAAGAAAGTGAACCTTGATTTGGTTCAACTTTAGAGGTCTCCTCAAATTGAAGAAGAGCATAGACTTCGAGAAAACAAAGATAAAAATATGGATTTTCAAACTAAAGCAAATATTTTTTAGCATAAATAAAATGCTCAAAATAGCAAGAAGTATTTCTTTCCTAAGGTTTAAAATAATAATTCTAAGGACCATAACTCTAATGCCGACAAAAATAAAAGAAAATGTCATGTTTTGCATACGAAAAACTGGGAGATTACTCTAGATAATGCCAACATAAAAAAGGGACAAAAGGCTTAGAAACCAAGTCAATATGACCACTAATGAACACTTTGTAACAATGGTCACTGAAGTCAACAAGGTCAATAGAGAGGATAGATGGTAGGTCGATACTAGCACTACCATTCATCTATCTAATAAGATAGATGTGTTTAAGTCATTTGATCCAGCTGGTGATGGAAATTCAGTTCAACATGGTACTCGGACTACAACCAAAATGCTTAAAAAAGGGACCATGGAACTAATGTAATTCGGATAAGGTTCTTACCTTGAAAAATATGTACTATGTATTGGATATGAGGAGAAATCTCATGTCAAGTTCTATCTTGAATAAGAAAGATTTTAAAATGGTCATCGGGTCTAACAAACTCATTTAAGTTTGATTTGATTAATAGAATACATAAATCTTTTACTTATATTGTGACTTCTTGCAATGTTTGGCATGGTAATTAGGACATGTTAACTTTGCTTCAATTAAATCTTTCATTAGTTTGATTTGGTTGATGGAATAAATAAGTCTTCTACTTATATTGTAACTTCTTGCAATGTTTAGCATGGTCGTTAGAACATGTTAACTTTGCTTTAATTAAATCTTTGGTTAAGATAGGATTGATCTCTTATTATGATGAATTAACTAATAAAAAATATGAAGTTTAAGCTAAAATAATTAGAAAACCATTTCTTATAATAGGAAGAAATATTGAATTGCTAGGACTGATGTATCTGATTTAGATAATATTCTAATTAGATGTGATAAAAGATATTTCATTACATTTATTGATGATTTTTTTAGATATGTTTATATTTATTTTCTTAGGCATAAAGGTGAGGTTTTTGAAAAATTTAAAGTTTTCAAAGCATAATTAAAATATTAAGATGTAATAGGAATGGAGAGTTTTTATAAATGATTTTAATGAATTTTGTAAAAATAATAGTATTATTCATCAAATGACTGCTCCTTATACCCCTCAACAAACTGGATTAGCAGCAAGAAATAATAAAAGTTTGGTAGAGGTCGTGAATGCTATGTTAATTTCTTCTTCTTTGTCATCAAATTTGTGGAATGAAGCTTTATTATCATCACGATTTATACTTAATATAATTCTATATAAAAAGAGTGATCAAACCCTTATGAACTTTAGTTTTAATAGAAAATCATCTTTGAATTTTCATAAAGTATGAGGTTGCCTTGCACATGCTAGACTTTCATATCTTGAAAGAAATAAATTGTGATTTAAAACTACTAAGTGTGTTTATAGAATATTCACATATATTTTTGGATTTAAATTCTAACATAATAGTGGAATCTAGAGATACTTAATTTTTTAAAAAATTCCCTTGTAAAAGTGAATTAGATTAAACAAATAGTCTACCAAGTAAAATTAATCATGAAATTAATCAAAATATTGATGAAGAACATGAAGAAAATAATGATGATGAAAAAATAGAACTAAGAAGAAATAAAAGAATTACAAGTGATCCATCTTTTATCTCTGGCCCAGATAATTATATTTATCTAGTTAAGGCCAATCAAGATAAGATATTAGATTCAATATCTATAGTCTGAAATATGGAGGAAGATCCTACATCATTAATGAAATTTTTGGCATCATCAGATGTAACTTTTTGGAGAGAAGTAATAAATAGTTAAATGCATTTCGTAATTGCAAATAAAACTTGGAAATTAGTAGATTTTCCAACTGGCTCTAAACCCATAGGTTGTAAATGGATTTTTAAAAGAAAACGTAATGCAGATGGTTATATTAATAAATTCAAGGTAAGATTAGTGGCCAAAGGGTTTAAACAAAAAAAATGACATTAATTATTTTGAAATATATGCACCTGTGGCAAGAATTGCTAGTATAAAATTGCTTTGAACAATAACCTCTAGTAACCATTT